AGGATGTATTATTTGAAAGTTTTCAGTGGATTCCGCTCCCCCCCAAAAAAGTTTTCCTAACTGTGATTTGCTTTCTCTGCTGTCAACGTTTAATATCAATATTAACACAATGTGTAGTCTAAAACTAGTTCCTTTGTAGTTTGCATGGGATGTGAATGCTGTCTCAACGTGCCCAGATCTAGAAAACCCATTTTACTACTGCATGAGCATCAAATCAGATGTCAGAAAATACATATTTTTGTGATAATTTGGTGAAACTGACCACCTACAGTCTCGGGTTGCAGTAGTGTGTTGAATGATTTTTTTTCCTTCTCTCTTTATACATATTTCTCTATATTTGGAGCTCTAAGCTTCTTTAGTATGGGCTGACTTTTATTGAGTACTTGCTCTCCTATCGCATGGCCTTGGTTAAGTGTTAGAAGTTGGACCTAGGCTGTTTTTATTAGTGTTTGGCTTTGTAATAACTGTGCATGCTCAGCTTCTGGCCTCATACCTAGCTTTATTCTCTGCACACCAGTCTTGAATAGCTACAGTGCTCAACCGAATTTTGGCGCACCCGCTTCCCCGGCAGGCTCCAATCCAGCCCGGCCCGGAGGATTTCCAGGGGCAAACAGCCCGGGTCCAGTTGCAGACCTCTACGGTACAGCCAGTCAAGACTCCGGTGTGGGTAACTACATAAGTGCTGCCAGCCCTCAGCCTGGCTCTGGCTTTGGGCATGGAATTGCTGTAAGTAGCTCTCTTTGTCTCCCATTTCTTATCTTGCAGAAGCTCTAGCGTGAATGAAGTCTGTTGGCACTGCAGTGCTTTGCTATGGAACGTATTCCATGGACTAATAGGTCTTTCAGTGCCCCATATTCTGGGGCCCTGCCCTGTCATGTGAATTGGACACTAAACTGAATCTATTTGTTCAGTCTCCCCCACACACACACACACACATGGCCATCTCCACTATAGATTCCATGTAACAGAGGGATCACATTTTGATAGAGATGGCATACTGTTTCTCTGGACTTGATAACACAACAAAATCTCATTCAGCCAGACCCCACATTCAGACGTTCTGCCAGAAATTGGATGTGTATTGGATTCCCTTATTTCAGTCAAATAGCAACTGAGAGATGCCCATTTAACAGAGGTTATACTGTATTTATATCAATGGAAGAAAGGAAAAACACAGATTCATCAAGCTGCAGAGCACACTAAATTTTTCTTTTCAATAAGGCGTGTGCTTTTCTTTAAGAATATCTGTAAAAATTTCTCTACATTAAACTTGGCCAGGTGATTCATCTTATTTTAATGCCTTTACAAGCAGTTGAAAATTATGTCAGAATCCTGAAAAAGACAGGAGGGCTTTCCAGAAATGAACTAAAACAACAAATAGTCACCCAAAGTCTCTCATTGGCAACGCCCACATCACAGCATGTCTTAGGAAGGCTATAGTTCTGGGTGTTCCTCAAGACACCCTTGTGCATTAAGAATCCAAGAACAGCTTAGTATAGCCATGCCTCGTCAGAAACAGATATATGCATAGACACAAGAATCATTTGTAGAAGCACTCTTACGACTTCAACATGGGAAGAAAGGAATGGCCTATAATTGCATTGTGCAAATTGAATGCCCACTTTAATCTTGGCCAGGCTAGAACTGAAGCATTGGTGTACTATTTAGCATGGGAAGTTGCCATGCCCTGCGTTTTAATAGGCAATAAAACACATGACCAGATTAGATTACTAGAGAATGGTTCTAATAATCCCAAGCAAAAGGACTTGAAGGGCATCATAACCTGCAGAAATGTTGGCAAGTTTTGCAACATACCTTTTCTCAAATAAGTAACAGAAATTGTTAACATTAACATGGTGTAATTACTAATTTGGGAGAAAAATTACTAATTTGGGAGTGGAAATTTTGCATAACAATTTTGCATGCAATGTTTATTTCCTCTAATTCTACTGTTTTCAAATTGTGTGTGTTAGCATGAATGTCCTGCATATCTTAGTAACTAGTTGATAAAATTATTTTAAATGAACTTTGAAAAATTTCACAGACATGCACATACATAGACATAGTTGTTTTTTTATCTCTGTGTGTGTATGTAGATATAGATAGATAGATATTTTTTATATGTGTTTGTATTAAACTTAAGTTTAATTCATTTTTAAAAATGCAGACAAGTTCCTCAAATGATTTTACTTGCTAAAAATAACACTGGCATACTGAATCCTTGTTTCATTTCATTCCCTTGTAATGTCATCTGGGTTACTGGTAAATCCCATTGGATCAACTGAATGGTGAAATACAGATTATTCTGTTAAGACCTACATCAATTTAAACTGCCATCTATCACCGCTTGCAACACCCCTCATTTCCATTTTTCACCTAAAGAAAAAGATTGGATTGTTCTCAAAAAGGTGTGTGCTGCTGACCTTTGCTGTGGTCTGTTTTCTAAAGAATCACACAGCAGTCAGCATTGTGTTTTGTCTGCACTTGTGTGGTCTTTTAAATGATTTTGTGTATATTGGAACAGAGCTGTCTCTTTAATTTCATGTTCAATAACATTTTTCAAAAAGTGTCTGTCTTTAATATGTTCACACCATCCATTTACTAACAGCAGCTTAAAAATATTGTTCCAAATTTACTTTTTCAGTGCCCCTAAATTTGAGCTTGCAAAGATGTTAGCAGGAACAGATGGCAACAATATTCATGCTAGCAACACCAATACTTTTGATAATTCATGAAAAAAAAGTAAATAAAAATCATCTCTTCCCATGTATCATATTAGTAACAATTGCAATTGTACAATTTTAGGGGCCTTTGATTGCAACGGCTTTTACAAATGGATACCACTGAAACGTTACACAGGGTTGGTTGCCATCTCACTTGGAGGTATATCAGTATATATAACACTTACATTTCCTACTCTATCCCTTCCCTCTTGTTGGGGGGGGGGGGGTTAAATTCTTTTCCTTTTACTCTTCCTTTTTTTTTTTTTTTTTTTTTTAACATTTTAAAATCAACCTTTTGGGCTGGAAACTTGAAAGGTATCCTGAAGCAATTCTGGAAAAAAAAAGTTCAGTATATATAACACTTACATTTCCTACTCTATCCCTTCCCTCTTGTTGGGGGGGGGGGTTAAATTCTTATCCTTTTACTCTTCCTTTCTTTATTTTTTTTTTCTTAAACATTTTAAAATCAACCTTTTGGGCTGGAAACTTGAAAGGTATCCTGAAGCAATTCTGGAAAAAAAAAGTGCTTACAGTTCTGTCATTTTTATGTAATCACTGTTTATTTAAACCAATTCTAAATATTGAGGGTTACTCAAACATTTGGAAAAAAAATCTGTTTAGTCATGCGAATTTGAGAGAAATGCATTTTAAAATTGCAACGCTTCATTAAAAGCTAATTCATTTTATGCTAAAGACTGTAAGCACAATCTTAAAGAACAATCATGAAAATTAGAAATTTAAATAAATTTCAGCAGGTTAAAAAATTCACTTACTACAATAATGTATATTCTGGATCCCCACCTGTTTCCCCCTCTTGTACCTATGGCTTTTTACCACAGTATTTTTTTTATATTTCCAATTATAAATATTTAGTTTAAAACAGTCCCATAACCAGGCTAATATAAGGTAAATGTGAGAAATTGCTGCTAATTTTAAGTATGTACCCAACCTGTTGCATGAATTCTAATTTCCAAATCAAAGCATGACATTAAAATTATGATTGCTGAAACAAACACATTTTACATGTGTGAAGATGAACCCAATTCACTTAATTTGGGAATGGGCGGAAGGAGCTGGTCATGACCAAATGAGATTTTTAAAAGCTTCTAAAAGGTATGATGCTTTTGAAAGTAACAGTAGTTGTCTCTTGTTGAGCAACTGTTACTGTTGAAAACACATGGGATTTCATTGTTATGCTTACTATTAGGGACAGTACTTCTCCAAGCCATTGAAACCAAATACTTGTGACATTCACCAAATAAGATTCATGTGCTGCTGTAATGTACAAAACTTGCTTAGTCACTTAAGTATGTCTTTGGTGGGAGTCTGCCTGAAAGCATGTGCGCTGCATGAGTTCCAGGACTGAAGTGTAGGGAAGCAGGCAGGAAAACAGTAAATACCCCCCTCAGCGTAAAAAGGGTTTCTGTCCATCCATCGATATGCACACACTTTATGTATGTTTCAAGGAGTGTGATTCCTGATTAATCCTGATATAAACAGATTTGGTCTCTGATTTCTGCCAAAAATTGTCTGTTAATGATCCTCAAAGCAAGTCCCAATAATTTCTTGTTCCTAACATACAGATGTTAAATGAATGTTAAAAAGAGTCACAACAAGGCGAGAACAATGTTAAACAAATTAGCATAATGAATGCATTCACCTCATATAGCTATAATGATGATTGGCAAGCCAAGAAGCCATGGATGCCCTTGATGTTACTTTTCACAAGGAAAAAGATCCTTCTGGGAAGGGGGTTATTTAAAATGGCTATGCCAAGCAATTCATGGGCAAGATATACTGCAGCTTCAGTGACTGTTCATCCTTCTCTATTAGCCTTGTTGAGGATGTTTGTTGCCTCAGGAAAGGACTCACTACAGATATCCAAAAGTTGAGCAGAAGGTGGACAAGGCAAGGATGGCCTTTCCTAATACATTTTTAACTGGAACTATCCATCTCCCCAGCATGTGAGTTTCACATCTGTCACTGTAAACCAAGAAAAGTGTGCAGGGGAGAAGTTGAGATTAGATTAGATTAGATTAGATTAGATTAGATTAGATTAGATTAGATTAGATTAGATTAGATTAGATTAGATTAGATTAGATTAGATTGCTCTCCTGGCATTATTCACCATCATGTTTGAGGTCTCCTAGAAGCCTCGCTAAAAAGTGAGGCTACCAAAAATTCTCAGAGCCTAACTCAAAATCAACTTTTCAGCCCAGATCTGTTAAAATTATTGTGGCTTGAAATTCTGTTCCACTGTTTCAGTGAGACTTTAGCTCAAATTACTTTTGCCAGGATCTTCTATATAGCATTACATTATAAAAGTTTCCCAGGGGGCTTCTTGGTATGGGAGGCCTAAGTCTGGAGATGGGGAAAATGCTTCTTGCAGTGGTTCATTTGAAATGAATTAATGAATGAATAAAAGCACTGGGAGGACTAAGGCTTTTCTGGGGAACAACTGGATTTCATAGTTATTCGCATTATTATTGAAGGTATTTGTTCAAGCCATTGAAACTAAGTGCTTATGACATTCACAGAAGAGCCAGTTCTTCTATAACTAAGTTGTTATCATCATGCAATGTAATTCATACCTTTTAAAAGATTCTTCATGGTGCAGTTTATAAACTCTATAATCCATCATGGATTAGCTGCGCATCGCTTCTAATTTCACATTGCTCCATTTGTTTTGGCTCACAATAACACAAGCCTGGAAAATGAAATGGCGGACTTACCAAGCAGATAATTTCTTAATTATTTTATGTGAGTCTGGTTCAGCAAACCACCCGTATGCCATTGTGCTCTTTCAACATGGTTTCAACAAAGCAACCTTAATTTTTAAAACCAGAATTTCTTGTGAAAAGCCTAGCTTCAAACTAGCCATCCCTCCCACCACCTGCACTGATGCCCAGCACTGATCTACCATGCCTAGCTTAGATCTTTAATTAAAATTCTATCGGGAGCATTATTAACTTCATCAATCTTTCTATCCAAGTTGTTTGCCAATCACAGTTCGTATATATATACCATCCTTCCCTAACTTGGTACACCTCCGGATATATTGAATTTCAACTCATGCAACTAAAAGGGCACTAAATTGGGGAAGATTGCAGTATACCTCTGCACAATCTGACCAGGTTGAATGTTGAAATGTATGTTTCCAAGTATAAAATAAAACCTCCCACTCCAATTTGGCATGATTTGGGACTACTTTCCATGTTTCATTTTAAAACAAATATTGTCTACCCATTCTCACCTCTAAAAAGAGAGCAGGTACAGTGTTTATCCAGCCAGCGCTAATTGAGGAGCCTTGTTGTTGTGGCATACAGGGTCTTGAAAGATGACACATGGTACATAGAAGGCTTCTGTTTAAGCAGGTCAGAACATTCAGAGTGGCAAAAGACAGCAATATGTAGAATTAACCATGTGAAGTGGTTTGCCTAAACGTTTCAGTTTCTCTTCTTTTTGAAAAAAGTCAAGAATATTTGATATTTGTGACATTATGGAAAGCTGTCAGAAGCTTGAGGGGTAGTTGGCAGATAAGATCCTAGTAGTGATCAGAAAAGAAAGGGACTACTGTGCCCAGAAAAACTTATTCTTAATGGGTAGCATAAATTAATTACAGGTAGTCCTCACTTAACAACCCTAATTGGGATTGGAATTTCCATTGCTAAGTGAAGCAGTTGTTAAGCAAAACATCGCATGACTGCACTGGTTAGCGACGGCAGTTTTGGCAGTCCCAGTTGTGATCGTTAGTTGAGGACCGTGCAGTCGTTAGACTTCTCCTGCCCAGCATGTGGGAGGCGCTGTTTAGGGCGGCAGCGGAACCGGAGGAAGCAGAGGGACACAGCCTTCCCGGAGGTGCAGCATACACTATGCAGCTCATGTTGGAAGCAATCCTGGAGAACTGGCCACTCCTGCGGGAGGAAAAGCATACCCAGCCAAGGCAGATGCTGGCCCTTCATGAGGCCTTGCAGGAAGAAGGCTGGGCTGAGTGAGCAGAGGGCCTGTGGGCTTCAGCAAGAGGTGGAGACAAGCCCAGCACCAACAGAGACTACATGTGGCTGATTCTTCTGGAGCACTTCCAAAACAAGCTGCACAGCACACACTGTGCCTCCAGGAAGCCTTAGCTCCTCCGTTTCCTCCTGATCCACTGCCACCCCAAACAGTACCTTCCACACAGCCACCACCTTCACCAGGGGAGCTGCCACCTGTCTTGCCTTGCCCAGCGATAGAGCAGGCTGTGCCTCACCGTCCCATCCCACTGTGCTCTCCACAGTCTGTGGGCTATCACTCCTTGCTCCAGTGGCAGAAGTCAGGGCTCCTCCGCCCACACCACCACCCTCCTCCTCTGCCAGCTGTGTCCTGCTGCCTCTTCCCTGGCTGGGCTTGACAGACTCCCTTCGGCAGACAAGGTTCCACCACCCTGCTGCACTCACTGCGCACGTCCTGGGGCTGTGCCTCACTCAGCACCTGGATCCTAGGCCAGCAGCGGGAGGAAGAAGACGGCCTAGGTCAGCTGGGGGCAGTGACAGCAGGGGGTGACCAAAAGGGCAGAGATGAGGGAAAGATAGGTGGGGGGAGTTGAAGCAGGGGCAGCAGTTCGCGCAGGGCAAGAGAACATGACTGTGGGGTGCTGCAACAGTCATAATGCAGGCCAGTCACCAAGCACCCAAATTTTGATCACGTGACTGCAGGGGCATTGCAGCGGCCGGAGCTTTGAGGACCGGTCGTATCTACCATTCATTCAATGCCATTGTAACTTTGAATGGTCGCTGAATGAATGGTTGTTAAGCAAGGACTACCAGTATATTCATATGCAGTATTTATGGATGTCGTATATTCGCCCCACCCACCTATCTTCCCCCCATCTCTGCCCTTTTGGTCACCCTATACTCCACAGCCACTGCCTAACCCTGCTGCCCCTGCCACCCCCAGCTGACCTTCACCATCTTCTTTCTCCGCTGCTAGCAAGGCACGTCCAGCCAAGGTAGCTGCTGGCCTTCCGCAACACCTCACAAAGTTTATATTTGCTTATTGAATTTATCTCCTGCTGCAGTCTTGTGATTCTCAGCAGTTTATGTGATTTGCAAAAATTAGAACATCCATGGGGTATAATTAAAGCAACAAAAATAAACTAAATCATAACATTAATGACCAGCATATAGCATAACAATAACAACAAAAA